CCCCAAAACCCCAAAACCCCAAAACCCCAAAACCCCTTTAAGACTTTTTTCTCTTGAAATAGTAAAATATTTCTATTTTTGCAGAAAAATCAAAAATGTCGAACAGAGGAAACTACACGTCGAAACTGTGAGGGACAAATGTCAGATTTTCTCCCTTTGAGCAAGGGAAATTAGTCATCTCCCAGGCTCAAAACTATGGAATTGTTGGCAACGGAAGTGTCTCTATCGTCCAGATGGACGATAGAGGTCTAGTTGACGTCCTTTTCGAGTATGCAACCCAGGATGCTTGTTATGACGCCTGCTTTAATGAAGAGAATGAGAACCAGATTATCACTGGATGAGGAGACGGTCAGATCAAACTCTGGGACTTTATGCATCAGCAGCCTATCTTTTCTTACTCTGAACATACTCAAGAGGTGTTCTCTCTTGAATGGAGTCACATAAATAAACGCAGATTTGCGAGTGCCTCATATGACCAGACTGTGAAGATTTGGGATGCAACTAGTGATGTCTCCCTGTATACTTTTAAACATGCATTTGTGGTGTACCAGGCCACCTGGCATCCAACACATGAAAGCATCCTGGCCAGCTGTAGTGGTGATGAGACTTTTAGAATTTGGGATTTAAGGGAAGGCAATGACGTCAAAGCAGTAAAAGCACATGATAATGAGATTTTGACAATCGATTTTAACAAATACGAGAATTTCGTAGCAACTGGATGAACAGATGGGTCTATCAAAGTATGGGATCTTAGAGCTACTCTTGATGAGCCTCTAATTAGCCTTCCAGGCCATTTACTCGCTTGTAAGAAGCTCAAATTTTCTCCATATCACGCTAATACTCTAATTTCTTGCTCTTATGACATGAGTACCTGAGTTTGGAATATCGACGAAGCAAAGAGCCCATTGATGAACAGATTTGACCACCATTCAGAATTCGTAGTTGGATTAGACTGTAGTCTTTTTGTTGAGAAACAAATAGCTACTACAAGTTGGGACAAGAAGACTTCTATTTTCAATTTTGACGAGGATCCACAGCTAGTGGCATAATTAATCTGAAGGTATTCATATTAATAAATCTTTAGTTGGGGTTTTGGGGTTTTGGGGTTTTGGGGTTTTGGGG